TGTGATTGGTTGTTGGGAGTTCAACAGAGAGAGAGAACACGGTGTGTACTCTCCCCATCTGTGCATGGTTGTATTTCGCTGCTTATCTCTGATCTGTGTGCAGGTGGACTCTGTCTCTTCCTCCCCTTTGACTCGTGCATGTATGGGCGCGTGTGAGTTCTTCTGTGTGTGAGGGGCAATCAAATTGTCAAACAACCAAGTTCATAACAGTTGGTATCGGAGTGGAGATTGGACTTGGAGCTCAGAGGGTTGAGCGCAACAGGGGCAGCTTCTCTTTTTGGCCCTAACTGGCAAGAAGTGCCATGGTGGTTCTTCATCTTCAGTAAAGATCCAGTGGAAGAGAAGATCTAAAGGCGGTGATTGCAGAGTATCAGTTTGCAATTGATCAAGCACCCTGAGCCTGTCTGTGTGCCTGACAGGAAGTGGCGAGAACAGGGATAGTTGATGATTGGGATCAGGGTGGCGAATTATACCCTAATCCAGTGATAACTGGGTGGCGGCTTCAATCCCAGTACAGCGCTGAGGGAGGATTGATCGCAGGATCACCTCCTGCTAAATTAAGCCTACTCAGGGCTAAATTTAGCACCAGCGGCGTATACCTTGCAGTGGCGAGATACCTTTAGGAGAGTATTCTCTCGCCACTGAGCCAGATTCAGTGAATCTGAGAGGTGGGGCTGGATCGCCACAACATACTGGGCATGATCAACAAGTTTCAGGAGATTCTACGTGTGGGAGACAGTGGAAGAGTATCTGCATGCTATTGGCGAGACCAGGGTCTGGCAGCCATAGCCAGGGCTTCATCATCCACTGTGTCAAACACTTCAGATGAGTGCGTTCCGTGTGAATCCCTGAGTAGCGATTAGATTAGTATTACTAAAAATAGAATTGATGGTTTGTCTGTCAGTAGAGTCACAATCGTGAAATTGTCAGACTGCAAGACAGCCATAGCCATCTTCTTCCTCCCTACCCTAACTCATATCTCACCATCTACTGACCTATTCTGACTCAAAATTGTTCTGGGATTGTATGACAGTATTGCGCTGCACCCTGTGTGATCATCCTGTGAATTTTGTGTAGGAAAAGTACTGATACTGTGGATTTGAGTTTTGCGCTGAGTCTATTTGTAGTCTGGGCTATCTAGGGCCAGTCACAACTCAAAATCTGTCCGTCGGAATTCAAGTTTATCAGTCTGGGGTGAATCGCAATTTCATTTTTGTCATCTGTGTTGAACTGCTAGCCCAGAAACGGGGTCTTTGGGTCATTACAGTGAAATCTGGAAATTCGCCATATTTGGGAGTATTTTTGTTGATGTCAACAATGGCGAAATTTGAGTCTAGGGCTGTCAGGGTATAGGTTACTGCATCGCTACCACTTGTTGTGCTGTTTCAGTCAATTCTTGCCTGTATCCGTCAATACTACTAATTCTCCCTGCTTTCTGATGGGCTCTGGAATGCTAGTGACCTCTGGAATGCTGTGAAAGTGCATGTTGCAACTTCAGTGAAAGTCCAGTGTCAGGTATAGGAAATTGTTAGTGCATGATTTTACTGGACACCCAGTCATCTTGATTATTGACCCCAGTGGTTCTATTCCAACCCTAACCGCTTGTGCCCACTCACCCACATTGCTCTGTGAATTGACAGTGCAGCGAATTTTGAGTGTCTGAGAGAACTGTAAATCGCTGCACCTCCTG